CAGGCAATCCGGACGGTTTGTGAGCGCCTCGGGCGAGGACTACCGCCGGCGCGGGCGCCGGGGCGGGCGGCGGGGCGGGCGGCGGGGCGGTGGCGGCGCGCGGCGATCACACACACGCAGCGGAGAGGCGGAGGAGGTCAGCGCTCGCTCTCTCCCCACCTCTACTTTTCTCCTGTGGTCGCATCTGCAAGCTTGCATGCGCTTTTGCGCGTCGCCCGTCGCCCGTCGCCCGTCGCCGTCGCGCGGGCGGTCGATTTTTTGGATTTGGTTGTCGCGCTCGTCTCTGAAAACCGTGTCCCGTTCACCCGTGTATATAGGGCGATCGTTCCACCGCCAAATGTGTACGACAGGCCTCGCGATCGGAGGACGCCACACGGTGAAAGAAGCCCGCCGCGCCAACCCGCGGCGCTCTCACGCACAACTCGCGTCCCCAGGAACAGGGACAGGACACGAGCCAAGTCCCAAGCAAGACATGTGTGAACGCTCCCCTCGGCCGGCCGCAGGCCCTCAGTCCCTCCGCCCCCTCACAAGCGCGCCCCATATGCCCGCTCCAAGCCCGAGACTCCACCCCTACGCACGCCGCCGTCCCCCTCCAAACGCACGTGGCCGCCCACCGAGCCTCTCCCGCCCAAATGGTCTGGCGCGAACGGCTGCACACGCGCACCCGGAGCGGCGACGGCGGATTGCGGCTGGCTGGCTGGCTAGCGGCGGCGGCGGCGGCGGGCGGGAGGCAAGGGTCTCGCGCCTCTAGTGCCGTCCTCGCGACAGCCCGCGCTCTACAGCTTGTCGGCATCCTCAACGGTCCAGACCATCGCCGGGTCGAGGTAGACCTTCCCGTTCCCCTTTTTCTCCTGGTAGAACTGTGCCATGACGTGGCCCAACCTACTGCCACACCAGCACCGTCTGACCCATCCTTGGCAGACGCGACGCAACCACGCGGGCCCCGCCTGGCCGGCGACTTGGAGACCCTGCAGCCAGCCTGAGTCAGCGCTTTGATCTTTCCCTTCGCCGTGCCCGCGTTGCCCGCCGTGATCGCTCCCGCGTGGCCCATCCGGCGGCCGGGCGGCGCCGTGGTGCCTATCGAGGCCAAAAGGACGGCGGTCGAAAGACTCGAGGCGGCGGGGGACGGGGGACGGGGGCGGGGGCGGCAGACACGCGCCGGCGATGAAGTTGACGACGGGCTTGAAGTTCGTCATGTTCGCCTCCTGAATGAACGCCGCCGCCTGCTCCTCCGCGTCGCCTCCGATCTCGCCTGCTCGCCAGAGGCACGGGTGCGGGAGCGTCTCCCGCCCGCCCTCTCCAAGCCACGGAAGGAGTCTGCTCGCAGTCTGACGCGGCGCTACGTCTCGCGCTACATCTCGCTACATCTCGCTGCATCTCCGCGCGCACCGATCATGATGATGCCCTCCGTCTCCGGGTCGGCGTAAAAGTACCTGCGGGAGCACGGCAGGCCGGGATGAGCGCCTCGGGCGAGCCGTCGCGCACTGCTCGGCGCCGCGTGGCGTAACTCGAGCGCATCGAGGAAGTTTGTGGTTATTAATTCGTGATTATTAATCAGCCGCGTGGCGCACTCGAGCGCGTCGAGGAAGTTTGTTCCGTTGAATGGGTCGCCGCCGATGCCGATGACCATCGACTGGCCGAGCCCCTCGGTGAGGTCGACCTCGTCGTGGAGCGCCGTCGTCTGGTGCACCGCCTGAGGCGAGGTGACGGGGCCGGTCAGGCGAGGTGGGGTCGGGAGGGGGGAGGGGGAAGGTGACGGACAGACTCTCTGCTGGCGGGGCCTCTTGCGCTGGCGGGGCATGGGGCGATGCCCTCCCCCCCTCCCCCCCTCCCTCCCGCGGGAGCGAGGCAGGAGGCGCGCGGCGCTACTCGCAGCGCGAGGCGGGGAGAGGCGCGGGGCGGCGCGCGCCTCGTACGTCAGCGTGCCCGAGCGCGAGACGATCCCGAGTGTTCGCCGTACTAGCCGACTACCTCCCTCGTGGCGAGAATGGCGCCCGAGCAGCCGGAGCCGTTCAGCCGGTTCTTGATGTGTATCATCAACGCTTTTCTAACGTGGGGGGAAGGGGCGGAGTGGCGCGCCGCCTCCCTCGTGGCGAGGTGGCGCCCGGGCAGTTGGGCCCGATCAGCCGCGTCTTCGTCTGGCTCATCAGCGCTTTTTTTACCTGCGCAGAAGGGGCGCGACGAGGCGAGGTGGGGGCGGTCTGGGAAAGAGCGCGGCGATGCAGCTGCGGAGCGCGGCACGCTGAACCACGTCATGACGCGGGGGTGTCTCGGCTGTGTCTCGGACGTATCCCGGAGGCTTCTCGGCGATGTCTCGGCGATGTCTCGGCATGTCTCGGCGATGTCTCGGCGATGTCTCGGAAGGATTGGAGAGGCGTGACGCGCTTCACCTGAACCATGTCATGCTGCGGCACGCCCTCCGTGATGCAGACTACCAGCGGGATCTCGGCCGCGATGGCCTCCATGATGGCGCCCTTCGCACCGGGCGGAGGCACCTACCGGGTGGAGGGAGAGGAGGAGGGAGAGGAGGAGGGAGAGGAGGAGGGCAGCAGGAGAGGGGCGTGGGTGGCAGCGGCGGGAGGGGGGAGAGAGTCGTGCGGGGAGGTGCCGCCCGGCGGGGGAAGGGGGGAGGCGTGGAGCGCACGAAGAGGACTGCGGCATCGCAGTCGGTCTCCTTCTTGGCCTCTGCCATCGTAGTGTAGAGTGGCAGCTCAAAGCCCTGCGCGTCCATGTCTGTCTTCGTGCCGCCCTTCTTGGGGTGCGTGCCGCCGACCTGTCCGGTGCGGGATGGCGATCGAGTGGGCGCCGAGAGCGCTGGGGCTTGGCCACGCACGCGGAGCGACAGCCGCCCCACCCCCGGAGCATACGTCACGTGGGATTTGCGATGCGGAAGAGAGCGTGCGTGGGGGCAGAGAAGTTGGGCGTCGCTCGGGCTTCGCGGGACGCGTCGCACATAATTGGAGCCGTAGTCGATCCCCCCCTTGACGTGGAAGGCGCCCGTCTTACCCGTGATGCCCGCACAGATGACCTTTGTGTCGGGGTAGACGGCAGGCGGCGGCGCCTTGCCGGCGGCATACGCCTTTTTAATGACGTCCTTGTGCTTGGGCTGGGTGCTGAACCCTCTCCGCGCCAGCTGCGATCGGCCAATGGCGCGCGCCGGGGCAGCTGCTGAGCTCCGCATATATGGCTGGGAGAGGGAGGGCTTTGTTGATCGTCTCGTCGGCCGATCAAGTCCTCGGCGTCGGAAGCATGTTTTTCTTTTCTCGGGCTTCGACTCTGGCAGTAGAAGGCCGCCCGGGCTAACAAAGGCCGTCCGGGCGAACCAAACCGCAAGGGGGGGACGGCGAGTGGCGGGGAACAGCAAATTCTCTTCATCACGCCGAAGATGCGGCGGGAGCGACAAGACACAACAAACCACCTCCACAGTTAGAGCAACCCTCCGACTGCGCCAGGCCTAAATTGGCTCCCGTTTGTGCGGGCGCACGTCATGTGGCCGCGGTCGCGCCTGCTTCTGCTCGCGCTGCTCCTGCGCTGTATCGCGGCGGTGACCTGCCGCCGAGCGGGGCCCCGGCTTCGCGGCGGAGGCGGCCTCGGAGGGAGGCGGCCTGGGCGGCGGCGCTCGAGGCGCGTGCAGATGGTGAGCAGAGAGGACGCCGAGTCCAACGCGCGGCTGATGGGCGCGCTCTTTGGCAGCGCCGAGGAGGCGGCGGACGCCGCCGAGCACGACCAGTCCGTCTCCTCGCACCTCAAAGTGCATCGCGACGAGGACGGCGACCTGGTGCAGCTTCGGTTCGTGTACGTGGACGAGGTGGACTGCATCGGCTGCACCTATTGCGCCGGCGTGGCGCGAAACACCTTCTTCATGGAGGAGGAGGCTGGGCGGGCGCGCGCCTTTCTGCAGGGCGGAGACGACCCGGAGGCGAGCGCGAGCGTATTATATCATATTATATATTATATTATATTAGAGACGACCCGGAGGCGAGCGCGAGCGTCGCAAGGCGTGCGTGCGCCGGCGATCTCTCCTCACCGCGCTACTCGCCCCTCCCCGCCCCGCCAGGTGATCGCGGAGGCAATCGAGTGCTGTCCCGTCAACTGCATCAACTACGTCGACTATGAGAACCTGGAGATCCTCGAAAAGGTCTGTTCCTTCTACAGCCGAGACACGTCCGACACCTTCGAAATTGGGACGCTTCCGAGACACCTCTGAGACACCTCTGAGACACGAACGAGACACCTTCGACAGTGGGAAGGCCTTCCGAAACACCTCCGAGGCACCCTCCCTTCCCTCTCCTCACACACCTCTCACGCTCCGCGCCCACTTCCACCAATCCCGCACCCCTCCTCTCCCCTCCCTCCGCCGACACGGTCCGCCGACACGCTCTGCGGATGCTCCTCCCGCCAGGAGAGGGACGGCGATGGGGTTGTCCTGAGGCCAAAGGGGTGCGGCGGACCGCAGCAGGTGGAGACAAAGTCGACTCACGGGTGCCACCCCTGCCCTCTCCCCCCTCCACCGCCTCCCCCCTCCCCCCGTCCTTCCCCACCCACGCCTTCGCTCTCGCCGCCCTCCTCTCCTCTCCTCTCCTCCCCTCTCCCCTCCCCTCCCTCCTTCCT